ATAATTCCGATCAAAACTCAATCGTTCGACGATGTCGATGATGGCTCTAGATGGTCGACGACTGTTTGGGTTAGGAAATTAAAATTAGAAATTAAAGATTTAGATATTGGGGATTTTAGAATTAGGGAATTTGGTAATGACTGGCGATGGGTGAATGATCGTTCGACGATGACGATGGTAGTCGAAAATGATTGGTAACATGTGCTAATGGGTGGAGATGGCAGGTGATAGCTAGGGAGGGAGGGAGAGAGAGGGATCGGGGTGGAGGTTGAATTTTTTTTTTAATTAAAATAGTATTTTTATTATTAAAAAATTAAAAAAATAAATGGTAGACACCTAAAAGTATAAATGAGAAAACGTTAGACACAATTTTAGCAAAAAAATCTTTAAGCACAAAAACGTTTTTCGATGCATAGTTTTTATATTTATTTTTGTATTAAGCCTTAGTTTTAATATTTTTTATTTAAATTTATCTTATAATAAATTCAAAATGAATGTATTTTGATACTTATTTTCTTTTATTTTTAATTAGGTTCAAACGATTTTCATATGAAAAAATCGAAACTGAAACCGAACAGAATTAAATATTTATTTTTTTAAACCAAGTCACAAATTGAAGAACTTGAACCGAACGAAACCGAATAGTTTAATTCAGATCAGTTTTTTAATCTACTCGCTTTCATTGCTCAACCCTAGTTTTAACTTTCATGTGTGTTGTTATAGCACGTGGAGAATGCATGCAATGGTTCACCCACATTGTTATGAGTAGCGAATTCAAAAATTTTGGAAATTCAAAAATTTAGGAACAAGATTCCAAAATTTTAATATTCTTTTTTTAAAAGTAATAGATATACAATTTTTTTATTTTTTATTTTTTTTAAATATTAAATTAAATTTCACATTCTTTCTTAAATAATAGACATGCACTTGACTCCTTAGAAAGATTAGTGCATCCACCCCTGGCTACTACTATGTGGGTCTGGCTTTTTACAATTCCTTCCTTGGCGGCCACACTCGACTAATTGGTTGTACTTCTTGAGAGCTTCAATTAATCAACTTAGAACACAAACACATGCAGCCAATGGCGAATGTTGAGGGAGTTGATTGTTGGGCAATGTTCTTGTTACTCGACGCTAACAGAGCACAGGAATGAAAGCAATAGAAATGGAGGTGAAATTTAAGACATGCACCTAACTTTCTATAAACAAAAATAAATGGTGCGGCTTTGTCTGTATTTTCCTTTAAGGTTTTGTGGTATATACAATTATATTTTTGCATAGCATATCCTTGTACACCGTTTTCGGGGCTGACCAGGGTCATATATAATATTTTCCTTGTATTAAAACTTGAGTGGAACCTGTATCATAACCTGCTCATGTAATGTTTTCCACATGTGTATGCTAAATAAAGGTTTAGGGTGAGTTAGACTTCCAACCAGGGTTTCAAATCACGGTCCGAAAATGTGATAGCGCCAGCGAAATAGCGGTTTCGCCGCTGTCCGAGTTACCCGCTACACCCGCAATAACGCCCAATAGTGCTTGCGACGGCCACAATCACGGTAAACTCGAAATGATCGAAAACGCGACCCTCGAGTTCCAACATTGCGATACAGTTTAGTTCTTATGTTAAATGACATATTTACCAATTTAAATACATTGATGGAACAAATAGGTCACTAGCTATAATAGTTCATCTTTTCTGATTTAGATAGAAAATTGTAGCCGGTAACGGCACAATAATTAATCGGTGATGAGGTAAAAGATTAAAAAGTGGTAAAGGAAAATCCATATTCGTCACTTGATTGAGAAACTTTATAGGTTTTCTATTGATGTTAATGAAAAGTCGAGAGACAAAATGGTGCAATACGGAATGGACAGCAAATGCAAAGCTGTTCGTGGAGATTATTCTCCAATCACAAACTCCCAAGACCAAAACAAGAACATTCAGGATAGATAAAAGAACATGTTCCGCGAGACACATCAATCGAATCGACAAACCAATATAGCGGTTCGCCTTCTTCGATCGACACCTATAGGAATTCATGAATTGAGGTGAGACAAATATGGAATATCACGTGATCAGATAAAAGATTATTACGACATTCAAATAAAAGAGAAAGGATTAAGAAGAAGCTGAATTTTTTTCTATCGTTGCATTATATTTTTATTGCCTGTATATAGTACATTGACTAATTATATAATGATAGATGTCAATGGTTTGTCTTCCATCTGCATCTCAATCTATTTTCATACTAGCTGTATCATCTACTTCTAGAGTGCCAAGCAATTGGGTCACCCTGCATTGGGTCCAGCGGCTTCAAGCCCCTGCCTATTGTCTCCTTTGTCCCTTTGGGCTACTCTACGTGGGCTGTCTTTCACAATGCGTGGCATGTGGGCTGCTTTCCTCTCACTCCATTAATCCAAACGTAAATATCGAAATCACAAAATGAAATCAAATTATCGAAAGATGATCGAAAAATCATAAATCAGAGACTAGTGGTATAAGAAAACTATCAACAAATATAAATTACGAATCCAAATCCAATTCAATGTTTCAAAGCAGGGAGGATCAACAAAAATACAAAATAAGCGCATTTTGATTAGTTTTGTTGGGGCGACGTCAAATCAAATACTAAAAATTATAAACGAAAAGATAGGTCAAATGATCCAAAAAATGTGTCAAAAGACAAAAAAAACGTAGCATGAAGATAGAGAAAAATGTGTCACAAAAATAGAAAAGAATGTGTCACCAAAGTAGAATTATTAAAAATTATAAAAGAAAAGAAAAACGAAGATGTGATATAAGAAAGTAAAAGAGAAAATAAGGAATACAAGCTTTCAACGATCAGCACTAAAATTAGTACCGACATCTATCAAATAAAGATGATAAAAAAAGAAGAAGACACCTGGGAGAGAGCCTAAATCCTTGTCAAAAATTGTATCTAGCTCTCAATATCCGAAACAAATTAAACGTGTGAATTTACATGAAATCTAATCATACATCCGAAGAAAAATAATGACATGGTGCAAATAAAAAAAGGTTTATACATGGGATGAAACATTTTGATCAGCTTAACACGTTGACTGCCTACTTTCCACTCATATACATATCCTCATAGTCGCACATTCGCCAAATTGCTAACATTTAAGACAAATTTTTTTTTTACCGTGTGTGCTTCACATTCCCTGGAGACTCTATTCAAAATGTCATGGAAATGATTTCACTGAACAAATCAACCCCAGAATCCGTCACTCAAATCTCACACTACACGTAATTTCAGTATACTCTCAGTTATTCGGACCTTTTACAATAGTCATGATTCTGAGTAACGCCGTCGCCTTCGGGATGAGAATCGAGATTCCGAATTCGCTTTACTCCCAGCAGGCTTCAGATTGTTGATCCTGAACAAGGAATGAAGCTTTCTTAGCTTATTGGTGAGTGATTTGAGTAGCTTGTTAGCGGGATGGGGTCTGACAAACTCTTGTTTCATCGACACATGATCTTTTTCCAGGTCGGTTAGCCGCATTCTCATTCTAGTGACTTCGAGTTTCAGCTCTCGGTTCTCTCGCCTCACCGATGCATAGTTGTCTCTCGGCGAGATGGCTCCGCTTCCTACGCCGCTGCTCGAACGTTGAGGGAACTTACCATTCGTAGCTCCGAAGAAGAACTGAGTATGGCCGCCTCCACTCATTGCGTTCCGAAGCCTGATTTGTTCGAAATATAACATTTGGACAGCCATTTGCACCGGTAACCTTTCGTTCTGCGCTGCATGGCTACAGGCTTCTTGAGATAGTTTCTGACAGTCTATGGTTTTGCATAGTCTATAGCGTTCGGAATCCTTTATGTTTGGATGAACCTGTAAATGGAAGCAGAACACCATTCTAAGAGCCTGCAAACGAAATTATGAAAATGGAGCTAATTAGAGCTTTATTGTGAGAACTTCACTTTGAGGAAGATATCGACTGCGTTGTATAATCCATCGCTAACGACACGAGCATGGTCCGGAAGCGACTCTGCAAGTGCTATGAATTTTGATGGCAACAAGTTTGTGTGTAGTGCGACTTCTGCGAGATAAGTGTCAAATAACTTGGATACTTTGAGGATTGAACTTTGTTTGGGAGATCTTGGGGTGTCAAAATCATATGCCATGTCACATTCATCTTTCAAGAGATTATCCTCCTCCTCCTCCTCATCATCCAAGTTTAAAAAGATGGAGAAGATCCTTAGGATCGACTCTGTATCATACACGGCCGTATAATTGTTTCCGTGCGAATTGGCCGGTATTAGGATGTCTTCGAGAATCGCCTGGTCAAGTTGCAGACCGATCCGCCTCTCTAAATCAGATTTGCAAGAAGTGGATACTGATGAGGCTATTGCAGTTTTCAGCAAACTAGAGAGAAATGCTGTGGGAACAAGACTCTTCCTTGACTGAGTTGGTAGTAAGCTAACAATGACTTCGACGATTGCCCTTTGTTTCTTTTGCAGCTCGAAATCCAGCAGGCTTCCTTTTACCAAGTGAGGGTCCCTGACAACCAAATCTTGAACTGAATCCTGAGCATAATTTATCAAAATTTTGACGATCATATCATGGTTTAGACCCTTTGACTTCACTGCTAATAACACTCGTTGGAAGAAATCTAGATTGAGAACCGCCAGACTTTCCCCACCAATCCGATGGCGTTTCCAGTGCCATGCTTGGCATAGCTTTCGACCGAAAATTGTGATCAAGTTTCATTAAGCCAGAAGTGAGTTGCTCTCTGCAGGCGTTATTGGCAATTGCATTGATAAGCCTGTTAACAAGGCTGATCTCCTCAGATACAGGTAAGAGACTTTTGCAACAGTGAAGAACAGATATCGAGCTCGATATCTTTGGGAATACCGTGTCCTTCAGATAAGCTTAGGTACGAGCTTCCAGGTTCTTCTCTGCAACCTCTTCTGTCATTTCCAGGAAATGTGATGCACATTTTAACATTGCAACATTTGACCATCTAATCTCAACATTTATCCCATAGCAGAACTTGGCAGCTAGCTCAAATTGCCTCTGCTCCACCTGGAATAGAATTAAGATTCAAGCGTGAAATCCTCCCATCCTTTGCGTCAATCAACGCCTTCCAGATTCTTCCACTCCAAGAAATGAGGGGGAACTGAAAAGAAAATTTGCAATTGCATGAGTAAAGATTCTATTATAATGGTGCAACCAGTTTCTAGGCCTATATGCTTCATAGTTCCATTTTCAGTCTTGAATCTGTATGATGTTGTGAGTGTACTTATAGGCACCGTGGTAACTAAACATTTGCTGCTAAAAGATGCCGAAACCGATTACCTTGTGAAGTGCAAAGCTTGATGCTCCAACCTCGACGATAATATCACTTGAAACGTCAGAAATAGGCCTGCAAGATAGATAACTATATTAAATTCAGCTGCATAGTGACAGAAACCTAGCTGATAAAGGAAAAAGCAGAGATGAATTCATTTCTACATGCTTGTTAGAGCCAATAATTTAGATAGCAAATTGTTCCTTCTGTCATAAACCTGAATTCCCATGCTTTAACCCATAAATTCGCCCCCACTGGGTTAGTTAAGTTGTAAGATGGCTCACATTCAATGAACAACTCAACCTATGATTATCTAAGTTATATAGGTCTGAAAACAGAGCTATCTAGAGTCGCAAAGAGCAAGAAAAAAGAAGTTACCATTCAGTGGCATGCCTGATACTGCTGGAATTTTGACGAAAGGACCTCTTTCCAGACATACTCGGCTTCAGTTCAGCAATAGTAACAACAACCATTTTCCTCTCACAAAAAAACCAGACAAAAATCCCAGATTTCAGCCCCCACCAAGATGTTTTTTTAAGTACAGCATTTTAGCAGCCCAAATGCTTCTCTCTTTGTCAGTTCAATGGTTTCATATTCTCCTGGGGATCCCAAAGGCAGGAGTGAGGTAAAAGTCACATGAACTCGTGCAGGATTAAAGGGAATTTGATGATGACATTTTGAAAATAATATTATATGCTTTTGATGAGTACTTATAATAATTTATGCTTAATCGAAAGTCAAGAACGTGTTCGAGTGAGCTTCCACTTTTCGGTGAAAGGTGGTGAGTGAGAGCGTGGCCTTTTTGACATGGTTCTTTTTTATTGTTTAATTTGCAGGATTATTGTAGGGTTTGTAGTGCTTTTAGGGGATGATTGCTTAAATAAAATACCTTGCTTAATTCAACTCTAAGCATCACTTAACAATATTACTTTATATTTCTGCATAATTGCATATTATATACACATACATGCATATAGCCTATTTTTATGCCTTGGCTAGAAGCCCAGGCCTTCAAATTTATGGACATCCCTTTGCGGCCAAATCACCATGACATTACCTTAACTGCTACAGTTTCCTCTTCAATGTCAGATTTCATTCCTTTGGTCTTGCATTACACTCGGAGGTGATAAATGGATCATTTAGATGGGATTACTTTGGATCGAATTTGATGTGTTTTAAATTTATTGATAATATACAAATTTATATATTTATATAAATAGTGGTGTTAATTTAATTTTAAAATATTATAATAATATATTAATATTTAATTTATTAATAATATATAATTATATATAATTAATGCATCGCATACTAGTCAGACTTTTAATGAGTTTGTATGACTAGTGAGTGGTATGTTTTCCTTCCCTTTTTTATGCACGATTGCACTCAATACCCAGGACATGGGGGAATAAATAAAATGTATTATCCAGGTGTTATGAGCAGCCACGTTTTTAAAATGAAATAAAAGATTAGGGAACCGAATAATTAGACGGCCACCTGAAGGAATTAATTATGAGACTTGCGTCTAGAAAGGTAGCAATGTCATTCATATTAACAGGGAATATGCATCATTGGTGCACCCACTCAATATCAGTATCACGCCCTCCCTTTCTTATCATAAGTTTCTGAAATATATGCTAAATCTTCTTTTTTAAGATCAATGGCATTCTTGGAGAGCATGCCAGCCTTTTTAAGGAACACTACTACGTAAAGCCCTTGGGAAACTGTGGTCTTTCTAGCATGAGTGACCCGCACAATGAATTCGAGGGGAGTAATGTGCTCATTGAAATAAATGATTCTTCAGAACCTGCATCAAAACTTGGCATGCCAATCCAGGAGTATCTGGATATTCTAGGTGAATGCAAAAAGAAGCTTTTTGACGTAAGGGCAAAGAGACCTAGGCCACATTTGGATGACAAGGTAAATATCTGATGAACTAATAGTAGGTGACTTACTTTTTTCTTACTGATGGTAAACACTTACTTCAAGTTCTTGCTAGGTGATTGTATCTTGGAATGGACTTGCAATTTCATCTTTTGCAAGAGCATCTAAAATCCTCAAGGCTGAAGCGCAGGGCACAAATTTCAACTTCCCTGTTGTTGGCTTCAACCTCCTCCTCTCTAGGAAATGGGTTGATTTATCATAGTTTGTTTAATTGAAAAGGATGGCTCTATCAGTATGTATGCTTGTTTATTCCACCAATTTATAGTTCTCAAAACCTGGCCAAATGAAGAATCCAATCACATGATGTATATATTAGCTTTTAAACAATGTTTAGAGAAACTATGTTGCCATTTATTTAGGCGAGTATAATTAGTGTGGCTGGCTTTGGTTGCAGTACAACTGTATGTAAGATCTTTCGCTGCTAGCCTAGTAGTAAAGTAGAACCGTATTAATTCTAGTTCAGCTAGTTCTCTAGGGCAATATGACTTTAAACAGTTTTTAACTATCCTTAAATTCTATTTGTATTACCACCTAGTGATTAGTGAGTTCATCTGTTTCTAGAAGCTGTTTTCATGACTCGTGCCAAGCCAACAAGTTATGTCGAGTTCTCTTGAGTGATAGCTTTGAGACTTGAAGATCCTAATAATCTAACTATATTCTTAAGCGATTTGTAAACTCCTTGAATGATAATCATGTTGATGGCAGCCGCAGTATTGTCCTGCTATTTATACGCTGTTGTTCTTGCTGGGTAGCTTATTTGATTTATCTTTTTGCTGTTTACGAGTACATGGAAGTTGCAGAAAAGGCGGCACATTTTATTAGAAGACATCTGTACAATGAAAAAAAGGCGCAGGCTTCAGCATAGCTTTAGAATGACCCATCGAAAGCACCTGGGTTATTAGACGATTTATGCATTCTTGATTTAAGGGTTGCTGGATCTTTATGAGTTTGGTGGTAGCACAGACTGGCTAATTTGGGCAACTGAACTCCAGGACATGCAGGCAAGAGTTATCTATTATCTTTTTCCGTTAAGATCCGTTTCCCATCTCTTTCCGTAGTAATTCTTCTATCTTACTTCCCAAATTTGTGGTCCAGGATGAGTTATTCCTCGATAGAGAAGGTGGAGCCTATTTTAACACTCCAGGAGAAGACCCTTCAGTGCTTCTACGTGTAAAGGAAGACCATGATGGGGCAGAATCATCGGGAAATTCGGTCTCTGCAATCAATCTTGTGAGATTGGCCTCCATGGTTTCTGGCTGTAAATCTGATCACTACAGGTAGAATGCGGAGCATCTTCTTGTTTGCCTTCTCTTCATAGGAGTTTGATTTCCTTGAACCAAACTCGCTTTCCTCGAATCGTGTCTAGGATTTGAAACTGTGTATGTTTTGCAGGCTGTTTTTGAGTCTAGATTGAAGGATATGGCAATGGCAGTGCCACTTATGTGCTGTGCAGCCGTTATGCTGACCGTTCCTTCCAGGAAGCAAGTTGTCTTGGTTGGCCATAAGTTTTCTGAAGAGTTCGAAAACATACTTGCAGCTGCTCACGCCTTATATAACCTGAACAAAACAGTAAGAACACGAGACATAAATAACATCTTAATCTCTATCTTGTTGTCGATAACATCTAAACTCGACAAGGTTGTCATTCTATGTAACAGGTAATTCATATAGATCCAACAAACACAGCAGAGATGGCATTTTGGGAAGCGAATAATAAAAAAGTTGCCCTCATGGCTAGAAATAATTTTGCAGTAGACAAGGTGGTTGCTCTTGTATGCCAAAACTTCAGTTCCAGCCCCCCCGGTAAACAGCCCTAAATCCCTACAAGATCTGCTCTCTAAAAACTCTTCATCGCGGTTGGATGTACGAGTTCTTAATAGTGTCATACCTTCAGGAGTGTTTGGTTCAAGGATTGTGGGATTCCCATGAATCCCACATTCCCATGTTTGGTTGGCCGGGAATCTCATTTCCGGTAATATTTTATTACCAATAGTAGATTTTTTTGAGTATATTACCGGGAATGTCATTACCTCCATTCCCTTAGGTATTGTAACATTACCGGCGTTTTGGACTAAAATGCCCTTAAATTTTTATTTTTTTTTTCAAAAATATCATTCTTCTGTCATTGAATAATAAAAATTATACGAAGGTTAAATTACAAATTTATCCTTAAATTATTTTAGATTTACAAAAAAAGTCTATAATTAAAATTTTATATGAAGTTCAGGGATTAAAATTTTTTTTACCCTTTCATTAAACCTTTTTTATATTTTTAATTTTGTAAAAAAAATATATAAATATTATTAATTTAATTTTTTAAAGAAAATGTATAAATATTTTACAATTTGTAATATTATACAAATATATAATAAGGACAATTTGGTCAAATATACATTCCAATAATCTTTTATTCCTTTAACCAAACACGGTAATCTTACATTCTTGCTAAACCAACCAAACACAAAATACAACATTCCCAGTAATCCTATTCACTGGTAATCTTTTATTCTCACTGATAATCTTACATTCTGTGAACCAAAAACACCTTAGTTCTTAATAGTGTATGAAAAAAATAACATGTAACAGTCCCTTAAACAATGAACCAATAATTGTAACAGAAACAATGCTTTCATAGTATACTTGTTTTATAATTATTATATTTCATTCTATGTATGGAAAGAAAATATGATGTATAATGATAGTTATACATGCATATTCAACCAAGTCCTTGCTCATTATTCCACTGCTCGATGCAATCACATGTTGCATATATATTATGCATGACGCACCGCCAAAGTTCCCCACTTATTTTATACGAATCAATTTGAACGTTCATCCCTAGAGGTATTAGAAGAAAGCTCTCCGGTGTTGAAAAATGAGCAGACTGCTAGCATGAATAATTATACAAACAAAAGGGAATGGGGAAATGAAAAAATTAGAAAGGTGGATTCAAAATAGGTATGGGGATTTTCTTGGAGAATCTGAAGAGGAAGAGAATCAAACAAGTTCATTAGAAATTCATTGTGAAGATGTGCTGAAACATTAGACTTTGTTGATGGCTTTGCAACCTGAAAAAGACCAAGTTTTGGATCACATGGCTTTATCACTTTTTTCTTTCTTATGGACTTAAAATTTCATTAGCATTGATAAAGGCAAGAAGGGCGAAATTTATATTGGTTGTTTTCACACTAGGCGAGTCTCCTATCTTTCCTCCACTGTCTCTGATGTTGATAATTTTTACTAAAGAAGCCCCTTGAAAGTAATTATAAACGGGGTATGTAAAATCTACTGGAAAATGTCTTTTTGCATGAGAAATTGAGTTCCTAGTTTGCATCTTTCATGTGGGTAGGCTCATCTTCGAGAAAAGTGACAACTTTTCAGCGACTGAAAATGCGAGTTGCCGGTTAATCATTGAGGATGTACACATGTTCTTTTATATTGTGTTGAAAATTTAATATTAGCCTAAATAAATTTACATTTAAATTAATTTGATGTCATTGCTTACATCAATTTAGTTTTGATGTCATTGCTTACATCAATTTAGTTAGGTAAAAATTAAGTATTTTTCTCATGTTTTAATTTCAATAGTTTAAATTATTTAGTGCTTATTTTAATGAGTGATTTAGATTGTTTCTTGTAACCTATAAATACCCTACTTGTATTTGAGTTTTATCATCCAACAATCAAAGCTTAATTATAAGCATTTGATAGTTTTCTTAAGAGTTCTTCCCTTTTGCAATTTTGTGAGATTATTCTAAAAAGTTTTTTCTTCTTCTCGATCAATTAGAGTTTTTACTATTTTGATTCAACAATTGGTATCAGAGCCACGTTTTTAAGGTCTCTTGAAATTATGAGTATGCTATGTGGCTGCAGTTTTTAACTGATCTTCCACATCAGAAAATATTTCTTGAGTTATTGTCGGGGTTATTACAAACCTTGTGGAGCTTCTTTGTGTTTAGAGTAATTTAGTACTCTGCACGTTTGTTACTCAAGCTTGTTCGGTGTAGTCAAAACCTTACCGTTAAGATGGGTGATCTTCAAGTAGTTGGAGGGATCAAGAAGCTCAACAACAAAAACTACAAAACGTGGGCAACATGTATGGAGTCATACTTACAAGGTCAAGACCTTTGGGAGGTTGTCGGTGGTGGTGAAGTTACACAACCGGCGACAGAAGATGCCAATGGAATCTTGCGAAAGTGGAAAATTAAAGCAGGCAAAGCAATGTTTTCTTTAAAGACCACAATTGAAGAAGAAATGTTGGAGCACATTCGGGATGTTAAAACACCAAAGGAAGCATGTGACACTTTTGTTACACTCTTTTCGAAGAGGAACGATACAAAATTGCAACTTCTCGAGAATGAACTTCTATCAATGGCGCAACGCGACATGGCGGTTGCCCAATACTTTTACAAGGTGAAGTCGATATGTCGCGAAATTTCAGAATTAGATCCGACAGCTGCTATTGGGGAAGCAATGATAAAAAGAATAATTGTCCATGGTTTGAGACCCGAATATCGAGGGTTTGTTGCCGCTGTACAGGGATGGCCGACACAGCCATCGCTTGTTGAGTTCGAAATTTGCTTGCAGTCAAGAGCCATGGCCAAGCAATGGGAGGAGTCTCGCTGAAGGGTGAAGAGGAAGCGCTCTACACCAGTAAAAGCAGAGGCACTTTTCAGCGGTATACTGGCAGTGAATCTAAAAAGGATGGTGACAAGGTGAAAAATTACCAAGGAAAGGGAGGCTCTCATTCAGGGGGAGCATCCAAGAATCGCGGTAATAGTAGAAAGTTCGATGGCAAGTGTTATAACTGCGGGAAGATGGGTCACATGGCAAAAGACTATTGGACCAAGAAAAAGCATGTTGAAAGTAATACTGCTACTTCTTGTTCGAAGGAGAATAGTGAACATGGTTGGGATGCTGAAGTGTTATTTGCTACGGAGGAAGAAGAATTAGCTCTCACGGTAACAACACCAGAATGGATTGACTACAAGAATGATTGATCGTAGATTCTGGCTGCTCAAATCATATGAGGGTGACAAACAGAAGTTGCAAAACCTGTCTGAGTATAATGGAGGTGTGGTGGTGACAGCTGACAACTCAAGGTTATCGATAACTCACATCGGTAAGACAATAGTTACGCCTCGATATAATACTAACCAGGGCAACTCCAAGATGTTTACCATGTCCTAGAATGAAGAAAATTTGCTATCTGTGGCTCAACTAACATCATCAGGCCATTATGTCTTATTTGGTCTCCAAGACGTGAAGTTCTATCGTGACGTCAAAATCTCAGAAACACCAACAATGGAGGGACGACGTTTGGAATCAATTTACGTGATGTCAGCAGAGTCTGCATATGTAGACAGGACAAGAAAATGAGACATCAGATCTATGGCACATGCGGTTAGGTCACGTTAGCTATTCCAAGCTAAGTGTGATGGTGAAAAGTCGATGCTTAAGGGCTTCCTCAACTAGACGTGAAACAGACACGGTCTGTGCGGGATGCCAGTATGGTAAAGCACACCAATTACCATATGACGAGTCAAATTTAAAGCAAAGAACCGTTGGAGTTGGTTCACTCTGATGTGTTCGGATCGGTTAAGCAACAATCATTACGGTATGCGGTACATGGTAACATTCATGATGACTTCTCCAGGTTGTGTGGGTTTTCTTATGAAAGAAAATCTGATACTTTCTCAAACTTTAAAGAGTTCAGACTCAGCTGAAGGATAAGTGGAAAGAAGATATGTTGCTTGCGCATAGACAACGGATGAGAATATAGATCAAACGAGTTCTCTCATACCTAAGGGAATGTCGAAGTTGGTTCACTCTGATGTGTTCGGATCGGTTAAGCAACAATCATTAGCGTATGCGGTACATGGTAACATTCATTGATGACTTCTCCAGGTATGTGTGGGTTTTCTTTATGAAAGAAAAATCTGATACTTTCTCAAACTTTAAAGAGTTCAGAGACTCAGCTGAAGGATAAGTGGGAAAGAAGATATGTTGCTTGCGCATAGACAACGGATGAGAATATAGATCAAACGAGTTCTCTCAATACCTAAGGGAATGTCGAATACGTCATCGGTACACTTGTGCCAACACGCCACAACAGAATGGTGTAGCGGAAAGAAAAAACCGGCATCTTGCAGAAATTTGTCGAAGTATGCTACATGCAAAGAATGTACCTGGAAGGTTTTGGGCTGAAGCAATGAGGACTGCAGCCTTTGTGATCAACAGACTTCCTCAACCAAGGTTAGGATTTGTTTCACCCTTTGAGAAACTATGGAACATAAAACCTACAGTTAGCTACTTTCGAGTATTTGGTTGTGTATGTTATGTGTTTGTTCTTGATCATTTACGGAGCAAATTTGATAAGAAAGTTGTTAGAGGTATCTTTGTGGGATATGACAGCCAGAGAAAGGGGTGGAAATGTTGTGATCCAATTAGTGGAAGATGCTACACGTCACAAAATGTGGTATTTGATTAAGCATCTTCTTGGTGGTCCTCAGAGAAGGAGGTGTTGCCAGATTCGAGAGAATTTGGAGACAAGCTACAACAAAAGATGGGGGAGCATGCTGTTCAACTCCAAACAAGTTCAGATGAATCAGAAGATCCAAATGGCGATGATGTCGAACAAAGAGTGACTCAGAATCCTTGGCAAACTGGCGTGTATCAACAACCAAACGAAGAAGGTGGGCCTAGTGAAACAGAAGAATCAATTCCACAATCTCAACTCCGAAGGTCAACAAGAATACGAAGGTCAAATCCCAAATATGCCAATGCAGCCATAATTGAAGAAGCAACGGAGCCTGAG